TATCTCAAGGATGAGTCACTATTAACAAAATATGTCACTAATCCAAGGTTTGACTGTAGCAAAAAGTTCGATAACAATTTACATGCTATACATTTAAATAAATTAGTTGTAAAGTTTAATAAACCTATATATTTAGGAATGACAATTTTGGATATCAGTAAAGTAATAATGTATGATTTCCACTATAATTATATGTCAAAATTTAAGAACAAAAGATTTCTTATGACAGATACAGATTCTTTAATGTATTCTATAGTTACAGAGGACTTTTACAAGGAAATAGAAAGTGACTTGCACTTTTTTGATACCTCTGGATATAGTAAAGACCATTTCTTATACTCTGATAAAAATAAAAAAGTCACAGGCAAGTTCAAAGACGAATTAGATGGTCATATTATGTATGAATATTGTGGTTTAAGACCAAAACTATATTCTTATATTCCTCTAAAATGGTTATATGAAGAAGACAAGCAAGCTTTAGAGGTGAAGAAAGCTAAAGGAGCTGATGGTGCTACAGTTAAACATCTCCTTAGACATCAACATTATTTGAACTGTCTTGCAACTGGGCAAGATTACTATGAGAATGTGACAAGAATTAAATCTACAAATCATCATCTTCAAACCTTAACCATGAACAAGAAAGTACTATCGTTTGACGATGACAAGAGGTTTATTCTAGAAGATGGCATCAATACTCTTGCGCTTGGTCACTATAAAATTGATCAAACATAGCCAGGACTGCCAAGACATAGAACCCAGGATTAATTGTATATATAAACCTGTAGAATATAGAATAATGAATAAATGTAAATGTTAAAACTTCAGTCTTTTATTTATTTACCCTTACCACCCTTTTAGTCGTTATAAAATTGATCAAAAATAAATCAATATCTATATTATATACAGCTATATTTCGTTTTATCCCTGCATTGGTGACAGCGATTGTTTTAAATTGGTCAAATGACAAGTCATTACCAACATGATTGTTATACGTGTTTTAAATTTAAATCGCTCTGTTTGGATATTATTCGGAAATTTATGTTATCATGATACAATCACAGTTCAGTCTCAATTGCACTTATCAATCAACCTGCAAATCAATTGGTTGCAGTCAGTTTTCCAACTCTTTATTTACTGATGTTACATTTAATTTTTTTAATTAAAAAGGAAAATTCTATCAAATGTTCGTCGTCCATTTTTGTTGATTATATACAAACACTCACGTTGTCATCAAGCAGGTGTTTAAGAAATCCAAAAATATCGTTGAAAAGAAACCAGCTGTTGTGTTTGACAACATAAAAGTCGATTCACACATAACACATCACAGTTCAATCACATCAGTCACGACACAGTGTATACAACAACTGACTGTGACTGTGATGTGAATTTCTGTGTACTTCTTCACACAAATTTTACACAAATTTCACACAATTTTCACAGTTCAATCACATCAGTCACGACACAGTGTATACAACAACTGACTGTGACTGTGATGTGAATTTCTGTGTACTTCTTCACACAGATTTTACACAAATTTCACACAATTTTCACACATTTCACACAAATATCATGATATTTGTGTGAAATGTGTGAAAATTGTGTGAAATTTGTGTAAAATCTGTGTGAAGAAGTACACAGAAATTCACATCACAGTCACAGTCAGTTGTTGTATACACTGTGTCGTGACTGATGTGATTGAACTGTGAAAATTGTGTGAAATTTGTGTAAAATTTGTGTGAAGAAGTACACAGAAATTCACATCACAGTCACAGTCAGTTGTTGTATACACTGTGTCGTGACTGATGTGATTGAACTGTGATGTGTTATGTGTGAATCGACTTTTATGTTGTCAAACACAACAGCTGGTTTCTTTTCAACGATATTTTTGGATTTCTTAAACACCTGCTTGATGACAACGTGAGTGTTTGTATATAATCAACAAAAATGGACGACGAACATTTGATAGAATTTTCCTTTTTAATTAAAAAAATTAAATGTAACATCAGTAAATAAAGAGTTGGAAAACTGACTGCAACCAATTGATTTGCAGGTTGATTGATAAGTGCAATTGAGACTGAACTGTGATTGTATCATGATAACATAAATTTCCGAATAATATCCAAACAGAGCGATTTAAATTTAAAACACGTATAACAATCATGTTGGTAATGACTTGTCATTTGACCAATTTAAAACAATCGCTGTCACCAATGCAGGGATAAAACGAAATATAGCTGTATATAATATAGATATTGATTTATTTTTGATCAATTTTATAACGACTAAAAGGGTGGTAAGGGTAAATAAATAAAAGACTGAAGTTTTAACATTTACATTTATTCATTATTCTATATTCTACAGGTTTATATATACAATTAATCCTGGGTTCTATGTCTTGGCAGTCCTGGCTATGTTTGATCAATTTTATAGTGACCAAGCGCAAGAGTATTGATGCCATCTTCTAGAATAAACCTCTTGTCATCGTCAAACGATAGTACTTTCTTGTTCATGGTTAAGGTTTGAAGATGATGATTTGTAGATTTAATTCTTGTCACATTCTCATAGTAATCTTGCCCAGTTGCAAGACAGTTCAAATAATGTTGATGTCTAAGGAGATGTTTAACTGTAGCACCATCAGCTCCTTTAGCTTTCTTCACCTCTAAAGCTTGCTTGTCTTCTTCATATAACCATTTTAGAGGAATATAAGAATATAGTTTTGGTCTTAAACCACAATATTCATACATAATATGACCATCTAATTCGTCTTTGAACTTGCCTGTGACTTTTTTATTTTTATCAGAGTATAAGAAATGGTCTTTACTATATCCAGAGGTATCAAAAAAGTGCAAGTCACTTTCTATTTCCTTGTAAAAGTCCTCTGTAACTATAGAATACATTAAAGAATCTGTATCTGTCATAAGAAATCTTTTGTTCTTAAATTTTGACATATAATTATAGTGGAAATCATACATTATTACTTTACTGATATCCAAAATTGTCATTCCTAAATATATAGGTTTATTAAACTTTACAACTAATTTATTTAAATGTATAGCATGTAAATTGTTATCGAACTTTTTGCTACAGTCAAACCTTGGATTAGTGACATATTTTGTTAATAGTGACTCATCCTTGAGATAAATGTCACGAAACTTTCGTTGATTCATAATTGTTCGACCAAAGAGACTATTATTTAACAATTTGTAAAAGTCTTTTTCAAAATCATTTTTAGCACATTTGCGTTTTTCAATATTAAAATTAATATAGGGTGCAAGCCATTGGGACTGTCTAAATTTTAAAATTCTGTGGTATTTTGTAGCAATCAAACCTAATTCCTCATATTTTTGTAATGCTTTGTAATGTAAAATATATTTAGTTTTGTCATTTAAATTAGGTATTAATTTGCCATTCATTTTCTCTGGTGCTAATGGATAGTCATTATGTAAATCATGTAAGCTTTTATCGTATTTTAAATCAACTTCTAAAATGTATCCAAACTCATCATTTTGATTGTTTTTGTAGTCTATCTCATTCGTCCAACGAAATCCATCCACAGGCAGTGTCTCACACATTGCTGTAGAGTATAGTGAGTTACAGTCTAAATATATTAAATACACACTCTCTTGATTGGGGTCATAGTGTTCACCCATATATCTATTATTGGCTTTAGCGTAACGTGTGGAAATCATACTGACTCCTCCTCTAATCGCACTTTCTATGAACAAATGCATGTCAATATCTTGAAATAATTGTAATTTTATACCAGTCATTCTAAGACAGGCTTCCCATGTTAGTCCTGGAAGTGAATACATATGTACGGGGTCCAGTTTATAATCTTTTAAGCATAGGTCTCTAAAAGTCTCAAAGACATCAGCCAGTAGCAATACATCTGTTTTAAGATATAAATCATGATATTCTTGTAAATTATTTATATTAAAATGGGTCCAGACATTTTTAGCATGTTCATATTCAATGGGAGAGATATGTTCTTTAGTTAGAGTACTGTAAAATTTTTCAATTGGAGGTAGAGACTCTGCAAATTTATCTGGTCCCGTCATGTATTCATAGGGAAATACGCCTTTACGTTGTAGTAGTGGATTGTCTATGAATCTAAATGTATTTAAATTTGAAGCTAATTTGTATAATGGAAGGGGCAGAAAGTTATAGGAATCCAAAAATACTAAATCATCAACTGAAAATGAAATGTACTTTTCCATATCCTTGGCTATGCAATTTAATTTACGATTAAACTTTCCCAAGTGTTGCATTATTAAATGTCCATCATAATTTTTCAAGTTATGGAAGAATACTGGTATTTTCTTTGTTATTTTATAGTTTAAATTACAATCATTATGGGCAGCTCCACGGTATTGGCCATTTGAATGACAATGTTCCCGTACCCTATCAAAATATAGAGGCTTTTCACAAATATGACAATGTGTTGAGTTTTGGAAAGATGCCTCTTGCTCAGGAGTCATTACAAGGGGGATATATATTGCCATTTGATTTTTAATGAAGTCATAAGTCTCAAACAACCTTTCGAAAAACACATCCATAACATTTTCGCCACTATATAACTCTTCAGAAATAATCTTAGAATCTTTTACTACGACAAATGCAAATCCAGATGGAGTATGGTTGTTAGAGTTTATAAAGCACTCAAAATCAGCATAAATTACAAATGGGGCTTTAAGTTGATATTTATAGTTTTTAAATTGTAATGTATCTTGTTTAGACATTTCCACTCGTTGGGCATCAAAGTTTTTACAATATGTTATATGACGCTCCAATTTATCATTAGTGTAAAAATGTTGTAAACACAGCTTACAAAAATGCTTCTTATGGTCGTGTTTTGTAGACCGCAGCATTAACCTATTAAAATCACGA